TCTATCTTATCCCTTCCTGCGAGCAGGCTAGGAAGAGAGGAAAAAGGACAACAGAACAGGAAGAGGGGGTCCATGAGGGAGTACAAAATCAGAAGTGATGTTTGCCCAAAAATAAACCTCATCTTTCCACTATTTTGCCCTATGCCAGATGAGCTAGTTCAGCTCGTTCTTGGTAGCTGCCATCAAGTGGCTGTGATTCATGCCGACCTTTTATGTATAACAGAACAAAATGATGCCCAGACCTACGCCATCTTCATGTCTTAGCACATTGGTGTGGCCGTTGTGTCAGTCCATCTCACTGAGGCTTTCCCTTGTTTTTGCCGCCCTCCACTTTACCAAACATGATGTCCTTCTCTAGTGACTAGTCTTTCATGATAAGGTCTAGCACTGTATCAGACAATATTCTGTTGTGATTCACAGAGTTTTCATGGGCTACTTTTTGAAAGCATATCACCAGGTGATACTTTCCTCCTAGTCTGTCTTAGTCTGGAAGTTCCGCTGAAACCTGTCCACCATGGATGACCCTGCTGGCATTTGAAACACTGGTGGCATAACTTCCAGCATCATAACAACACAAAAGCCACCACAGTAGGACAAAGTGACAGGCAGGTGGTGGTTGTTCAAATGGGAGATAGAAAATATAATTAGTCTAAAGAAGTAGTTATAATAATCTCAGTAGACATTTTACTAAGGATTTCCAAGTTACCGTGTTTTATTTAATCTTTGCAAGAATCAAACTAGTAGTCTTTTTTTAATTTTCAGAGTTTATATTGATTAGATATTTACATAAGTTCATGTGATTATTTAGATTTGATAAGATATAATTTTAGTAATTGAGTTCCATACATATTTGTAACTTATTAGCTGAAAGTTCAGAACATATAACAGACTCAATAGTTTCTAAATTTTGTTTTAATTGATAAAGTTCTAGTTTCTTTTTTAATTATAGAAATATTGGTATTTGCCAATTCAACATTTTTCACATGTACAATTCATTGAGACCACTCACATCAATCATGTTGTGCAACCATCTTTTAAGAAGAGGCTTGGAACCATTCACACATGTTGTTTTGTATATATTAAAAGATGCACTGATGAACCCAGTATAACTTGAAAATACTCGATTGCTATCAGGATGGGAAAAAATGAAATTCACTGAGGTTAGGGAAATGGGAGAAAATACTGAAACTCTCAGAGGAAAAGAGAAAATAGTATAAAAAAGATGACCTGTAAGCACCTTTCTAGCTCCCGGCATTCTAGGTCAGTATTTCCCAGACTGGTGTCCCACAGAAAGCTATTCCATAGCCTATTAATAGGTGTGCTGGGAAAACAAGTGTTCCAGGGTCAAACATGCTTGGGAAGCTAATAAAGTAAAACTAACTTCTTTGTTGCAGGACTTCTTAGGGTCATTAACATGCATAATAAATCTTCTAAAGGAGGATAGTAGGTATAGTTTGGGGCATTGGTGGTTCAGTTGTAGAATTCTTGCCTTCCAGGCAGGAGACCTGTGTTTGATTCCTGACCAATGCACCTCATGCACAGCCACCACCCAAATGTCAGTGGAGTATTGGGTGTTGCTATGATGCTGAATAGGTTTCAGCAGAGCTTGCAGACTAAGATGGACTAGGAAGAAAGACCTGGTGATCTACTTCTGAAAATCAGCCAATGAAATCCCTATGGACCACAATAAAATACTGAGGATAGAGCAGGACCAAGCAGTGTCTTATTATATTGTGTGTTGATGGTAGCTTACAACAACAATAACATGGTGTAGTTTAAGCATTTTTGAAGTTTTTGAAGATTACTGCTTTGCTTCTTTTGATATCAGGAATCCAGTATCTATGGATTTATAGCTGATCCTACTTCCAGATGGCTCATAAATTATCTCAGAGCACTAACCCTGAGTCCTTGCACCCTTGCTTCTCTCTGCTCTGAGGGAGTGTAAGTGAAACCTGTAAATAATGCAGGGAGAAAGGAACAGCCAGTCACAGCTCCATTGGCTAAATCAATGCTCATACCCATTCCTATTAAAATGCAACCTCAGTCTGATTTAAGTGCTTTGTAATCTCAGTGAATCTTCTATTTTCAAAACAAAAAGAACAATTTATGTTCTGGATGAGTCAGTGATATTTGGATTTGAAGCAATCATCATTGAAGCAATCATTATGGTGAAAGCGTATTTCCAATGATTTCCTAATCACTAGGTGTTTGAGTTCCTCTTCTCTCTAGCCACTCCACATACATAGGCAAAATGCTTAAATGCAATGTTTGTGAAGAGTACATGTTGAAGATGTTTTGTATACATGCAGATGTGATTTCCGGTGCCCCCATGCTTTTATTCTTGGCTTAAGCAACTTGCCCAAAGTCACTCAGAGCCAATTCTCAAAAAAGATCCTGGAACTCCAAGTCTTTTGTGCCAGTGAAGGCACCATGATGATATGAAGCGTTAATCGGGCCAGGTGGGAAGGGAATGATTGAGAGCTCATCATACTTTCTAGCGAGGTTGGTTGATGATCATCAGTACAGTATTACTGAGCAAAATTATTTCAGGCAAATCAAATGGAACAATCCTTTAAACAAGAAGAAATAGTTTGCAGGTGCAAATAAGCATGAAATAGAATTCTGTTAATGAGTTTCCATTACCAGCTAAATACATAATCAAATTATTTAGGCCCTGCTCATGGCAGGGAGAAATCAATTATTCATCATAAATCTGGGGATGTGTATTGACCATCTTGGTATGTGTCTCACCTGGTCTATAATGAATGAATGTTTCAGTTTCAACAAGAGCCTGTTACCATTAGCACACAGGGCTTTCTGAGATAACAAAAAATCAAAAACAGCTGAGAAGTTTTCCTTCAAGAATTTTTTTTAAAATAAAAGAAATATGTAATTCTTTTTAAGAAATGGTGTTGGAATAATTGGACATCCATGTTCAAAAACAACCTGAACTCATACTTTGTACCTATAAAATTTAATACAAGATAGATCATAGACCCAAATGTAAAATCTAAAATCATAAAATTTGTAGGAAAAAACGTAGAAGAAAAACTTTGTGCCCTAGGGTTAGGCGAAGATTTCTCAGTCCACAAAAAGCATGAATCATAAAGGGGAAAAAAAAGGGGGATAAACTGGATTTCATCAAAATTAAAACCTTCTCTTCAAAAGACATCATTAAGAAAATGAAAATATAATCCTTAGACTGGGAGAAAATATTTGCAAAATACATATCTGATAAAAGACTGGAATCCAGAATATCTAAAGAACTCTCAAACTTCATAATAATAAAACAAATAAATTTGAAAAAAGGGCAAAAGATTTGAACAAATACTTCACCAAAGAAGACATACAATGGTGAAGAAACACAAGAACAGATGCCCAATGTTGTTAGTCCTTAGGGAAATGCAAATTAAAACCATAAGGAGTTACCGCTACACAATCGTTAGAATGACTTAATTATTATGATTATTTTTTAATGACAGTATTATGTGCTCACCAGGATGCGGACTGGGATAGGCATGATAATGATCGCCTACAGATGTCCGTGTTCTAATCCCCAGAGCCTGTGAATATGTTATGTTACCTGGCAAAGGAGAAATAAGGTTGCTTATGGAATTAAGGTTGCTAATCAACTTGCTTTAAAGTAAGGAGAGTCTCCTGGCTTATCAAAGTAGTCAACATAGTCATAGGGTCCTTTAACTGCAGAAGAATAGGCCGGAGTCAGTGTCAGAGTGAGGTGATGTGAGAAAGACTACCAGCCATTGCTGCTTTGGAAAATGGAAGGGGGCCCAAAGGACAAGAAACTTAGCAGCTTCTAGAAGTAGAAAAAGGCAAGGAAACTAATTTTCCCATAGACCCCCCAGAAAGGAATGCAGTCTTGCCTTGATTTTAGCCCAGTGAGACTCATTTTGGACTTCTGACTTCCAGAAAGGTAAAAAATGTGTTGCGTTAAGCCCCTAAATTTGTGGTAATTTGTTACAGCAGCCATAGAAAATGAAGACAGGGACTAACCGGATCTCTCCTAAATGTCTAATAGGAGTGCAATGGGACAGCTACTGTGGAAACAAAATTTAGCAGTTTCTTATACAGTGAAAAAGACATCTACGACAAGACCCAGCAATCTCATTCCTAGATACTTACCCTAGATAAATAAAAACCTACATCCACACAAATGCTGATTGTGACATTTTTCACAATTTATCAACTGGTGAATAGACAAACTATGGTATAGTCACACAATGGAATACTGTTTGGCAATAAAAAGGACCGAACTACTGATACATGCAACAACATGGATGAATTGCAAATGAATTATGCTAAATAAAGAAGCCAGACTCAAAAGTCCATATGCTGTATAATTTACATGACTTTCTAGAAGAAGTAAAACACATGAGTAACATGTCTGATGGAGACAGAAACAACATTAGTGGTAACCAGGGGCCGGAGGAGAGAACAGAGACTGACTACAAAGGGGCATGAAGGAACTTTCGGGGGGTACTACAACTATTCTAAACCTTGATTGTGGTAGTGGTTACATGCCTCTATGTGTTCGTCAAAACTCATAGAGCTGTAGCCCTGAAGGGTGCATTTTAAAAGCCAAAACCAAATCCCTTGGCATCGAGTCGATTCCAACTCGTAGCAATCCTACAGGACAGAGTAGAACTGCCCCATAGAGTTGCCAAGGCTGTACTCTTTACAGGAGCGGACTGCCACATCTTTATCCCAACGGCACATTTTACTATACACAAATTATACCTCACTAAACCTGACTTTTAAAAATAAATAAATACATATACACATCCACAAATAAAATTCACAACAAAGTACTGCTTGGGAGGTAAGCTGCATTTGAAGTCAAGGAATTAAAAAATTCCTTCTACTGCTGACTCCTTTCTTCTGTTTAACAAGAGTCACTTTTTAGAAATTTATAATTTTAGAGTTGGAAGGAATTTTGAAAATTATCTAGTCCATTGATTTTTCAAATCTTTTTTGAATTTCAGCATCCTTTCCACAAATACAATATTATTATGTAGACACTGTGTGTCAGACACTGTTCCGAATACTTTGCATAACCTCTTTTAACCCTCACAACATCCGTATAAGGTGAGTATTGTTAATAATAATGATAATAATATGTTGTTAATAATAATTATTATATAGGTATGGAAACTGAGGCTTTGCAACATTGCATATGTCGCCAGTGGTGGAATGGATGTTCAAACTCTGTCAATTTGATAGTAGAGCCCATTCTTATAATCATCTTATTACATTCCTTCTTTTCTGTGAAATTTCTGCATAAAATCTATACAAAACAAATACATGGGGGGCTGTTCTGGTTGCTGAATATTTACTTATGTGTGTGTTCTGGAGGTGGGAGTCTGGTCCCTGTTGATAGTTACACAAAAACCCCACACAGCCTATTTTGATCTGGTCTGATGATTCAATTATGTAAGCAGGAATTTGAAGCCCAGAGAAGTCAAGTGACTTGCTGTAGATCACACAGCTGATTAGAGACTGAGGCAGGTCTCCTGACTCCTGATCTAATGCAATGCCAACTCTCAATACAAAGCCCATTTTTAATACAAATATCCCCTTACCCCATCCAAGACAAAGTCCAATAGAAAATTTAAACTATTAATTTAGCTTTCCCCTCTTTGTGCCATATTTTACCATTTTAAAAATAAAGATCATTATACTTAAAGAAGGAATGTTGATCGCAAAGGTATGGGTTGTAGAAGGGTAAATAAAGGCCATAGTCACCCCAAATACTTCTCTGGCCTCTGATATTTCCAAAATCTGGGCTTTTTCCAACCCATGTTCACTTGACTCTTTTTTTAAATGGTGTTTGCTACATGTCCTGCAAGCCCAGTAACCTAAATCAGATTTTATAATGAAGAAATGAATTTAATTTATATTTCATAAACAATACTTGCCTGCATTCCCCACTCTGTTCTCTAAGAGTCCCATATGCATGCCTTTTCCACTGAGAAATACACAGCGGACCAAGCTAGGAACAAAGACCTGGCTAACCCTCTTCCAAGTAAATCCTGGGAAAATACTAGAGCAATTGATAAAGTAATGCACATCAATTAAAAGTTCAGTATAGTAAGGTGCTGAGAAAGAGGTATGGGAATCTCACTAAAACATATGCTCACATTAGACAAGAGCCAATGGATTTCTACATTCTCTCATTACCGAGAACAGGGTTAAGGATTGATGACTTTAAGAAGCTATTAATACATCTCACCCCTGCAAAAATGGCACTGATTAAAAAAAAAACAACAACAAATGCTGGTGAGGTTGTGGGGAGATTAGAACCCTCATCCACTGCTGGTGAGATTGTAAAATGGAACAACTGCTATGGAAAACAGTATGCTGCTTCCTCAAAAGAAATACTTTATGATCCAGCAATCCCACTCCGAGGTATATACCCTAAAAATCTAATAGCAGCAGCATGAATAAACATATGCATACCTATGCTCATTGCAGTATTATTCACAATAGCAGAAAGATGGAAACAACCTAAGTGCCCATCAACGGATGAATGGATAAACAAATATGGAATACTACGCAACCATAAAGAATAATGATGGGTCCTTGAAACATAACATGGATGAATCTGGAGGATGTTATGCTGAGTGAAATAAATCAATCACAAAAGGACAAACGTTGTATGATGGCACTTTTTAAGAAGATAAGAACAGATATATATACAGAGACCAACACCTATTGGTGGTTACTATGGATGGGGGGTGGGGGGAGCTGGTAGACACTTGTTATTTTTGGTGATGGGAAAGGTAGCATCAAATGTGGGTGAAGTGCACACGACTCTGTTAAAGGATGTCACTAAGAACTACACAAGAGAAAAGGATGTCTTTGGCAAAGGATATGACAAATACAATTTTTTAGCAATGCTAACAACACAAAAAATATGTGTGTGGTTACCCAAATATGTACATAGGCACGTAAATATGTAAGTATGAATATGTGGGTATGTATGCGTGCAAAGATAGAAGAATCTATAGGCATATGTACATCCATATATATAATAAGCCACATAGGGGACACAGGTACATATACTTCTTAAATATAATTAAACACCTTGTGAGATTGGTTTTCTGGGTTTGAAGATTTAGGACCATAGCCTTGTGGGACAACTCTGGTAATGGGCATAATATAGTTCATAAAGTATAGGTTCTACATCCTAATGTAGTGAGTAGTGTCTGGGGCCTTAAAATCCTGCAAGTGGCCATCTAGGATACAACTATTGGTCTCTACTCATCTGGAACAAAAGAAAAAGAAGAAAACCAAAGACTCAGAGAAGAAAGTAGTCTATAGGACTAATTCAAAACCAAAAAAAAAAACAAACAAACCTGTTGCCATCGATTCCGACTCATAGCGCCCCTATAGGACAGAGTAGAACTGCCCCATAGGGTTTCCAAGGAGCAGCTGGTGGATCAAACTGCCAGTCTTTCGGTTAGCAGCCGAGCTCTTAACCACTGTGCCACCAGGGCTCCATAGTCAACAGAAACTGTGGCCTCATCCACCTTGAGACCAGGAAAACTAGATGGTGCCCAGCTACCACCACCTACAGTTCTAATCAGGACCACAATGGATGGATCCTGAAAGAACAGAAGACAAATGTGGAACAGAATTCTAGTTCTTAAAAAGTCCAGACTTACTGGACTGTTGAGACTAGAGGACTCCTCAAGACTATTGGCTTGGGATATACTTTAAGCCTTAAAATTATCACTTGAGGTCACCTTGTAGCTAAATAACAGATTGGCTCATAAAGAATGCTATCATGAGTAGTAAGTTTCTTTAAGAAAAATCATCCATAGAAGACCAAACAGTAAAGATTACTGTAAAGAAGGTAAGGGGGCAGGGAAACTACAATACTGGAAATGGTACAACCAGAATGGAACAAATGAGAATAATGACACATTGTGAAAAATGTAACCAATATCCCTGAATAATTTGTGTAGAAATTATTAAATGGGAACCTAATTTGCTGTGTAAACTTTCACCTTAAACACAATAAAACATTAATTTTTAAAAAAAGGAGCTTCAATAGAAGGTGGGTACAATGTGGTCTCAGTTCATTAAGATGAGTCTGATTATGTTACTTCCAATGATATCCCATAGATATTCTGGGATCTAGTCCAGGTTGGTATGTCAGCACTCATGGTATAATCATATATACTTCATTTATTCAATGAATAATTTATTGAGTACCTAATATGTGCCAGATACTGTGCTCAATGTTAAATCCATTATCTCATCAAAACCTGTAAAATTTCTGGTTGGCAAATATTGTTATTCTTATTTTTGTCCTTTTAACTTTATATTTTGACTTGTCCTTTTTTTTAAAGATGCTGAAGAGATTAAATAAGTAGCTCTAGGTCACATGCCCACTAAGTGACAGAATCAGAATTTAAACACAGGGCTGTCTGATTCTACGTCGCAGGCTTCCTTCTGTAGAATCTATCTTCAGAGGAGGAAGTGATGTCAACATAGCACAATCAAACTAAACTGACCAAGAATATCTCCTTTGCCACCAAAACCTGCACCTTTCTACTCCTTAGAGACTATCTACTATGTATATTTGGGCTGGGCTAAAATGTACAAGACTCATTAGTATCCAAAAAATATTAGAATCAGTGTCATGGTTTGAATTATGTCCCCCCAAAAAATGTGTATATCAGTTTGGCTGGGCCATGATTCCTGGTACTGTGTGATTTTCCTATATGTTGTAAATCCTGCCTCTGTGATGTTAATGAGGGAGGATGGGTGGCAGTTGTGTTAGTAAGGCAGGACTGGATCTACAAGACTGGATTGTGCTCTGAGGCAATCTCTTGCGATATAAAAGACAGAAGTGAGCAGAGAGACAGGGGGACCTCATACCATCAAGAAAGCAGTGCCAAGGGCAGAGCGCGTCCTTTGGACCAGGGTCCCTGCACCGAGAAGCTCCTAGTCGGAACAACGAAGAGAAGGCTGACGGAGAGGAAGAGCCTTCCCCTGGAGCTGACCCCCTGAAATTGGACTTTCAGCCTACTTTGACTGTGAGGAAATAAACTTCTCTTCATTAAAACCATCCACTTGTGGTATTTCTGTTATAGCAGTACTAGATGACTAAGACAATCAGAAAGAAGCTTAGAAGTCATCTGGTCTAACTCTTTGATTATACAAATACATTCTTTATTCCTTACATGTTTACTGAGAACCTGTTACATGCAGCACAGTGCGGAGGATACCCAAATTTCCCTACCTTCAAGGGGATTACAATGCAGTGGTGGAGAAGGACAAGAATACAGATGATAAGAGTCCTGGCAATGGTAGAGATAGGAGGTCAGGGGGTGGGGTGCGGGGTAGACTAATGGAACACAACAAATGGGCACTCCATGCAGATTTGTGGGATGGAGGAGATGATGTCTTTGTTGAATCTTGGGGAAAATAAAAAAAGAAATAGAAGACAGTAACTCAAAAGGATTGGAATTGAGTCATGGGAAAAGGAGGAGAATGGAATGGGGGCATGGGAAGGACATGAGCATAGAAGCTATACTGTTTGAATCTCACCTCTCCCTCTTCCCAGTTCCATGGAGAAGAAAAGAGTATGGTGGCCCTAGACTTCCACAGCCAGAACTCCAGGCCAGTGCTGTAAGAATGGGTTTTGCTAGCATCAAGGACCAAGTGAGGAGGATAAACATACACAAGGCAATATTTGGTGGGTGCTACTGTGGATCGTGTAGTGCAGTCTATAATTGCCATGGGAATTCAAGGGAATAAATAGACAAATGGACAAGGACATGTAGTTGGCTGTGATGACTCATTTTAGACTGCCCAATACATTTATCCCCATTATGCTCTGGTGGTAACAGAACCTACCTTCTCGGAACAGGGATGAGTACTTGGCCCCAGCACGATGGCCAGTATCCCAATTTCCTGGACACAGCTATTGTCTCGAGCAAAATCAACTAGAGTACTTCTTTGGGAGTTGGAAGAGACAATTTCTTACCAATGACGTTGCTCAACTTGGAAGAAGTACATCTGCGTTGCCAGTAGCCATTTTCCTTGCCTTGTAGAGAGAACTTATCAGCAGAATG